TCGTTGCAGTCAAGAACCAACCGCAGCTTATGTCTGACGTATGTTTTGCATACATTCGCGTTTATGTTATGGTATCTGTGATCCTGAACTTAGCCTTGTCAGATCTTAACCTCCATGATGACTTCTCTGATGTTTGGTGAGGTTAAATGTCAATGGAGCATATCTCGCCCGCTACTTGGACTGATTCTGCTGCAGGTGAGTTAATTATGCACCAGGGTCTTTATGTTTCGCATTCAGATTACATTTTTCACGTCTATTCATTGCAGTACCTGTGTTTTTACTTGATGTCCACTATTACTTTTCGTGTCTTACAGGAAGAAGTCTTCACTAATTTCAAACGTGAGATTATATCGCAACAACCAGAGGATCGCCATGCAGCGTTCGATCAGGCGAGTTCCTTTCCCTGTTGACAAACTTTGGTACTTACGGAGCAGGAAACGCCCAGGGCCTGCCGCTCATGAGTGGAAGAGCGTAATCTGTTTTTTTGTACCCGTTTCGAAGCTGCAGAGCACACCTCTTTTCTTCATGTTATTGTTCGAACAAGGCATAGATTTATCATTTCTTATGGGCCACGGGTGAAAGGCGTGTATTGTTACATGTTTCACAGGGCATACTACAGCTAGTTTTTTTCCTCTACTGGCAACTATGAACCCTATATGTTACAGCTAAAAACGCTGCTTATCCGACATTTTTCGATTACGAACTTTTGCAGGCATTTATTGGGTTGATGGATGGTGTTGAACTATCGCTCAGCGTTAAAAACAAGGATATCTTCACTCAAAACCTAGCAAAGTTTCGTCGAGAAATCGTCGAAGCGGTCAAAGGCAAAGAGGTGTCGCCATCAGTCAGCAATAATGATATGTGCTAGTCGAACGAGGTCAAGATATTCTTGCTATAGAGAGCCTAGAAGGTATGCATCGCACTTATATGGAAAATTTCGCAAATAGCTTTATCCTTTTTTTGCGAAAAAATCGATTGCTTCCTTATTCCGGTCTGTTAGGGAGACAACTGCAACCGAAATTATCTGTAGTAAGTTTGGTCATGTTCATTGCTTCTCGACCCTCGTCTCAGGACATCTTCTGTCTCCCTGTATCACAGGTTTTCTTAGTACTTGTTAATTTGTTTTGCCCTTTTCTTGGTCCTTTTATGAATGTATTCAACGCGGGTCCTTGTGTGTTGTTGAATTCGCAATCGGACAGCATCTCACCTCGTGGTCCACGCTCATCGTCATGTTAACAGTTTTACACCAACCATAACTTCTGTTGTCATTTCAGTATTCATGCAACTTTCATTCTTCGCTTATTTTCTGAACTTTGTATTTTTTCTCATTTCCTTGCTTCTTCATTTACCTGTGTCAAAGGCTTTGCCAATCATTCTTGCTTCTTCTTCGGTTTATTACCGGTTCATACACTTTATACAAGATATTGTTGTTACAGAGCTGTAGAGATTTCAATGAATATACTTTAATGAATTGTTCTGTGGAGGGCTGAGATTGTAGTGGCTAGAAGTGTTACGCGCACATGCAATACTTATACTTATACAGCTCGTCTTCACTCATGTGCGAGCACCAGCAACAAACCATTCGCTTCTGTCTTTCGCGATCGCCAACCACGGTAGATTCAGAATTCGACGAAGATGGCGATGTGAGGAGTCATTCAGCTGCTGTCGCAGCTGTTTCACGTGATCGACAAGCACATCCCCCCATCTCGCGGCAGGCCTACCCTTAGATCGTGTAGATCCTATGGGAGCCCANAAAAATCGATTGCTTCCTTATTCCGGTCTGTTAGGGAGACAACTGCAACCGAAATTATCTGTAGTAAGTTTGGTCATGTTCATTGCTTCTCGACCCTCGTCTCAGGACATCTTCTGTCTCCCTGTATCACAGGTTTTCTTAATACTTGTTAATTTGTTTTGCCCTTTTCTTGGTCCTTTTATGAATGTATTCAACGCGGGTCCTTGTGTGTTGTTGAATTCGCAATCGGACAGCATCTCACCTCTGGTCCACGCTCATCGTCATGTTAACAGTTTTACACCAACCATAACTTCTGTTGTCATTTCAGTATTCATGCAACTTTCATTCTTCGCTTATTTTCTGAACATTGTATTTTCTCTCATTTCCTTGCTTCTTCATTTACCTGTGTCAAAGGCTTTGCCAATAATTCTTGCTTTTTCTTCGGTTTATTACCGGTTCATACACTTTATACAAGATGATATTGTTGTTACAGAGCTGTAGAGATTTCAATGAATATACTTTAATGAATTGTTCTGTGGAGGGCTGAGTCTGTAGTGGCTAGAAGTGTTGCGCGCACATGCAATATATGGATGCATATGCGTAATGCCACCCATTTCGACCGCCGATGCCACCCCTAGGATGTCGGTTAATAACATTGGGGAAATTAGGAAAACCATTCAGATAATGGTCTTCAATAAAAATTTCTACTCACAGAAAAAGTTTTGAATTCAGTAAGGGCCAATCCATCTGAAAAGGGACGGAATCTATGGCGATCGGCAAAGAAGTGCTCTATTGTAGTGCTAAAAATTTGTTACTCAACACATATGAGTTGTGCCTGCTCATAAATCTGGAACTCTCGTGACCTAATGAGAAGGCCTTCTCCATTTTTGTACTTGCAAAAGTTCTTATGGTGTTCATTGAGTCTGTCGGGTGATTGTTGACGGAATGAGTGGCGGGCTACTCCATAATTTTGATAAGTGTGTTGTTTTATTAACTTTTGGAGGAAATTGAATTGTAAAAACCCTTCTTGCATTGCAAAAATATCTCATCTAGAGTATCCTTTCTTGAGCGGTAAGCCTGGAAATCCTATTGTTAGATGACGACTGAGGCCCCGATTGTGGTCGGGCGTTTCGGGCTCGAGCTAGGAACTTTGTAAGGGTTTTGTGACCTCATTTTTCAGTATGACCTGGCTGTTCCTACAAATATTTAGCCTAGAATATGGGCACGCTAAGACCATCGCATGAGAAGCTGTTGAGAGTAAGAACCACTACAAATCAAGTGTTAATTACAAATTACGTCGGATGACATGAGCGACCCAAGTTCCTATAATAACCCATCTCTCAATTTCGTGCTTCCTAAATAGCAGGAAATATTGGAAGCAGGCGAATCCGGTCAGCTTATTGAATGAAGGTATGATTCGAGCTATAAATTGGAAATATCAACGGTATATGAACCTCTTTTTCAGGCTTCAAAAAGTTCAGTTACGCACGGTAATGGGAGTTCTGTAAGGGAACAGGTGCATGTAGGGTAAACTGAAGTATGACTTCTGTGCGAAATCGTCGTAGATCCGGTGAGTCATATCTTTTTTTCAAAATAAGCTCGTGATAGCTAGTTTGTCCTTTAAGAAAGTCTAGATGAATTTCCTGTTTGCATTGCTGAACAGAAATCGTTTCCTCACAGCAACATTAGAAGGAAACTATTTGTGGGCTACTCGTAACTCCTTTCCTGCTTGATCTAATCATGCGAAATTACAATATGTGTAAGTAGTATGATTATATTTATCACTATTAGCCTGCAAACTTATCATACTCCAGATATCCTGAAGAGCTTGAAATCAGAGTCAGCTAGAAATACAGATGTTGTTCTTTCTGGGTCTTCTTTCCTTTGTGCCATGTCTATAGTGTAGGAGTGGTAATACCAAACTTAGTGAAAGAGAAAAACGCACATAAGGTGCGAATAATTGCAACGTGACCAAGCTTGCTTTCAGCAAAATCTACCACAACATGTCCTGCTTTTAGTTATGTTGATATTGATGCTTTGCAGTCAAATAGTAGTGGGTAGTGGGAAATGTGCTTCACTAAGAAATATCAAAATTTCACGCGATTTGCCCCACTAAGAAAAAAGTTACAGCCGAAAAAGCGTTTGGCCGTTTGGCCGAAGACTGACCGCTCCTGTATAACCACAAATAAGTGATTTTTGTTCAACAGATCGTCATTGATTTGATTCATTGGTTGATTTGATCCATTGATTTGTCATTTATCTTATTCAAGGACCAGTTATAAATCTTGCAGGAATTCTTTGGAAGTGATCTCGTCCCGGTATTAGGAGTATACCTCATAACATCTTATCTTATTACAAACCAGTCGGCTCGCCCGGCTCACGCCGGGCTCCCCTCTACCCCGTGTTGAAATGGCCTCCCCGCCTGCACCACCCACCAAATTTGAACGCTCTAGGTTCAAACTTAAGTCGTTCACACAAACCCCGCCCCTTGTGGGCGGAGTTCGGTCTCGCCACCCAACATGAATGTTCCCATCCTGCCGCCTGTACTCCTACCAAATTCGAGCGCTATAGGTCTATAGGAACGCGATTTACAAGTTTCCGCTCGAACCCCGCCCCTTGTGGGTGAGGTCCGGTCCTGCTATCCACCATAAATGTTCCCATTCTGCCACCTGTACTCCTACGAAATTCGAACGTTCTAAATCCTCGGGGACAGGAGCTATAATTTTCCGCTCAAACCCCGCCCACTGGGCCACTGTGGGCGAAGCCCGGTCTCGTCACCCACCACAAGTGTTCACATTCTGCCGCCTGCACTCCTAGCAAATTTGAACTCTTTAGGTCCATGGGAACCGGAGTTATGAATTTCCGGCCACACACACAACACGCACACATACACACACTTACACACATATATACACATATACAGTACTCGCCGTAAGAACACAAAAATTTACGAGAATACCGCGAGCTCGCGTCTTTTTCGTCTTTTCTTTATAAATCGCTTCAAAATAAATTAA